GCGGGGCGGGGCGGGGCGGGCGGCGGCAGCGGCCCTGGGAGGGACCCTTGACAGCCAGCCTTCCCCTCCGCAGGCGCTGCCGGCGGGCCAGCGCCGCTGCTGGCGCTCACGGTGGCGCTGCGGACGCTCAACTGCTTCCTCGTCCAGACCAGCTTCGTCCCGGACGAGTACTGGCAGTCGCTGGAGGTGGCGCACCGCATGGTCTTCAAATATCCTTCGCGGCCCCCCCGCTCGCTGCCGCCATCGCTTCCTGCGGGCCGGGGCCGGGGCCGGGGCCACACACACACACACATCACCGCCCCTGCGTGACCGGAGGGTCGCGGCCGCGGCGCCCTGAGCGGGAGGAGCGCTCGGGTAGGGATTGCCAGGGCAGTAAGGCGTTAGCTGGACCAGTAACAAAATCCCCACTGCTTTCGGCCAGGAGGGGAAATGTCTCGACCCGGGCAAGTCTGAGAATAACACAGCTCGAAGGAAAACTTTTGTTTCAGCTGTTTATGATCCATCCTTAATACTAACAATTATGGGTACCTGACTTGGGAATGGGCAAATGGCTTAAGGGGCTACTCGTACCCACTGATCTTTGCGGGCATCTACAAGGCTTTACAGCTGCTGGCTAAGGATGATGTTCACCTGCTGGTGAGTATAATTAAAAAAAGCACACCCGCTATTCAATTTAAAAGCACTGTATTTAAATTCAGGGTATTTTTATCGTTGTCCAGGTAAAATACAAAGCCTTGAATCTGGCAGTTGGAGATGTATTAGCACAGAGACCTCACCGAAGTGTTTCGCATGGGTGCAGAACTTGGTCGTAGACCTCCAGTCACGGTACCGATGCCTGTGACTGCAGAGGATTATTCTTGGCCTCCATCAATCTCCTTGAGTTTCATACTGACGTCCTTTGCCACTACATCGTAATTGCTCACTGGTTCAGCTTTCCAAACTGTTTAATAATGTATATTTCTACTAAACGCAGCAACAACAGCCCCTTTTGACTTCTGTTGATGAATGGCAAAGAATTCTACTCTCAATTTGCAGTCAGCTGAACTTTAGACTTTCTTTGTTTTGGCAAAAATACTAGTCATAATAAAACACTTTTTAAAAATCATAAACAGCTATAGAGAATATTCACTAATTGACTATTTTCAGGTCTGAACAATTGTTCACTAATTCAGTAGTCCTCTCTTCAAACTTGGAATTTAACAGGTTTGTTGCAAGTAAAATTTTCTCTCTGCTTATATAGATATGGGTCCCTAGACTTGCACAGGCAGTGCTGGCAGCTTTTGCTGATGTGAAGCTTTACTCATTAGTGCAACACCTTGAAAATGCAGAAACAGCAAAGTGCGTGGTGAGTCTCAGCCTTTAAAAAAATTTTATGCATGTTAATAAACACTGTTTGTTGTAGCGTGTTTACAGCAAAATGATGTCACACCTTGAAGAATTACCACCTTTGTTTAAAACTACAGAATTTGTTTTAACATTTCTCCCTGTGCATCCTGTTGTTCGTAATTATTTTCAGTACTTCTGTCAGCTGTGTTCCTGGTTTACATGGTATTCCTGTACCAGAACTCTAACAAACACCATGGAGACTCTTCTTACCATTTTTGCTCTTTCCTACTATCCGATAAAAGGTTCCAAGATGGGGAGCAGGTGAGAAACTTCCTACTAACAGTACTGATAATTTTTGGCTTGGGATAACACCAATCTACTGATACTGTTTAAAATGCTAATTTTTATCTTAAAATGTAAGGCAACCAAACCCACCTCATTCATGTACCAAGAGCTCTAGATCATGGAAGGAACAGCAGTTGTGGTATTTCCTCTAAAAAATTTTCTGAAGCCATGATATAGCTGGTATGTGAAATTACTATTCTCCAGCTCCCTTATGCAAAGTATCGCTTTATGGGAAACTTTAGTTTAAACTTTAAAGGACTGGAATTTGTGGTAACTTGGGAAAAGATAACAAAAGCTTGCTTGGATTCAGATATAGGTGAATTTGTGGTCATGACTTTCTTTACCAGCTATGTATTTTAAAGCAAGCATGTGATTCTAGTTAGCAACTCCATTGCTAATAAAGCAACTATATAGTTGGCAGCCTTCCAAGCAAAACAGAGTATCTGCACTGAGAGAATCCAAGTTGCCTGCAGCATGAAGAACTTTGTCAGAGACATGACAGTATTTATATTGTTGAAATGTCACCGTCTGCAAAAGAATTGACCAAACCTTTTGATAAACTTCTGTTTTTCTTATGTTCCCTCATTCTAGTTGCAAATATTTAGCTTTGATAGCACTTGCAATTGTTATTCGTCCTACTGCTGTCATCCCATGGATACCTTTAGTCTTCAGTCATTTTTTGCAAGAACAGAGGAAAGCAGACCTTATCCTACACAACTACATTCCAGTTGGGTAAGTTCTTTCTGAATTTAAAATGTGACTGCGCACAGCTGTATCTTAAGATTGATTTTAGCACCACAAAGGCAGACAACCCAAAAAAGCTGATTTCACGTAAAAAAACAAGGGGAAAAAAAAAAAGAGTTCTTTTGCAAAAGTTTAAAGAGAGGTATGGTTCCTTCAAATTAATGCATATGATGCAAAAAGCACTAGGAGAGATTTCATGAGGGGGAGACATGAACAGCATTCCAGCTTAATCTAGGATTGTGCCAAGGGTTCTAAGTGATGGCAACTGGCTGCTGTAAAATGGCCATGAGTATGGGTAATCTCAAAAAAGATTAGGAATCAGGGAGTTTTGATAGCTATTTGGAGAAGAGTAGAATCTGATACAAAAGCAACTCAGGCAATATCAAGTGCAACCCACTTTCCATTTTTGCAGATTGGTCACAGTAGGAACCTCTTTAATAATTGACCGTGTGTTTTTTGGTGAGGTAAGTTGTTTTAAACTTGACTTATAAGAAAAAGGTTGGGTTTAAGCATTTTAACATGGACGGATGTTTCAGACTTCTCTGTTATTTCTGTGACTGTGCCTGGCCTATGATCTCTAAATACATCCTAAGCCATAAACCCTTAAACGCCGACTTCTCAGTTATTTTAAATGACAGACTGTTACTTTAAAGTCAGCATGCTCAGCTCTCAATAAATCAATAGTTATCAACAAACTGCAAAACTTACATACTGCTGTGTTAACTGCTAAACATAGGAAGTCTCTGATGAGTCTTAGTAGAAAACAGAAATATGAATGAAAATTAAGGCCAGTGATGACTGTGTAATTCAATTTAGCTGTTGGTTTTCACTTTCGATTTGTATTTAACACTGCCCACCCCCACCCCCTGAATCTCCCAGTGGGTACTGGTTCAGCTGAACTTCTTGAAATTCAACGTGCTGCAGAATTTGGGAACGTTTTACGGATCTCATCCTTGGCATTGGTACTTCACTCAGGGACTACCAGTCATCTTGGGTACCCATCTGCCTTTCTTTATTCATGGCTGTGTGCTGGCACCAAAAAGGTATCGCATCTTTCTAATGGCAGTGATTTGGACAGTGTTGGTATACAGGTAATTTCTCCTAAGTGTAACTACTGTCTTTCACTGGTTGTGTTCTTTTCAAAGCTCATGTCCTCTCTAGAACAAAAAAGCATAGTATTCAGGTTAAGTGATAGAAAACTTTAAACTATTCAAACGCTCCAAGAAATGCAGTCAATTATACAACACTTTCTAGAATTTTATGTAATGCTACTTCTTCTATCTTTACCAAACAAATTTTTAGAATTGATCAGACCCTTAAAGTAATTCAGCATGAAATTCAATGGAAAATGAAAAACAGCACTCAAATCACCTACCAGGTGTTTAAGCAACAATAGAACTAGTTAGAAAACTGTACATACTAGATGCCTGTTAATGAAAATACCATTTCATTTAGTTCTTTAATACATCCCCAGTAAGATCAGAAGTTCTTAGGCCTCTAAAACTTACTCCATTCACAAGTCTATGCACAGTTCTTAACATTTATCATAGGACTGTATGTCTCATTTTGAGAAATAGAAGAAAAGGTAAGCTCTTTCTAAAGCATCAGAATTAACTGTAGATTAAATGAGACACCTTCAGACAAGAAAAGATACAGCAAATTAATAAATATTAAGTAATAAATGGTGTTGGACTACAATAGTAACAGAATATAGCAAAACAGTACTGAGGCCACAAATGCCACCTCTTCTTCAGTCCAACTCAAAACTGGATGTAACTCTACTGGTTTTATGCCCTTTTTTTAATCTCCCTTAGTCTTCTAAGAACCTGTTGGATTCCCATGACACAAGTCTTGTGGTAATCCCCAAAAAAGCCTCAAAAGTTGGCATGGGAAATTGTGTAAAGTTGTATTACCAGAGGTGAGTTGTTACTCTGTTAGATACAAATGTGTACTTGAATCTTAGCTTCTCATCCATACTTTTTATTGTGTTTTGTTACAGAAAGCAACGTGGTGAAGTACTAGCTAAGTTGTATCTAGTAGTCATAGAATCAGACCACTTAATTGCTAAAGTAGTAGCCAGGTACTTTTATTAGTGCTTGGTTTAAACTGACCAAATAGTCTTAATTTGAGTGTACTCATTATGTTCTTAAGAAGGGACAGTTTGGATTTTTACTCTAAACTGCTTCAATGCCAGAAGCTTTTTAGTACGTGCAAGTGTTTTTCTTCCATGCTCTAAAACACATTTTATCAACAGAACTGATGCATTTAACTTTCTTGCTGTAGTATTACATCTGTTTTATTACAGCACGCTGAGCCATAAAGAATTCAGGTTCATCTATCCAGTACTGCCATTTTGCATGGTTTTTTGTGGTAAGCATTGGTTTCAAATGTCTTGCAATCTTCCCTGTATATAATTTTTACCTAAACAGAGACTGTTAATAGTCAGTGTAGGTATTTGACAAAGGAGTCTTAGAACTAGCCTAACCCTCTCTTACAGCTAGGAGAAAAAGAAGACAAGGAAAAAAAAAAAAAAAAGAGGAACAGCAAGAGACTGAAACACAGATGGAGAATCCTCAGCATGGATAAAAGTACTTCCTGCAAAAAATATGAAAATTGCCTCAGTAACTCATAACTTCTTAGCAATGCCACCCTTACAGTGAATTTTGTTCCTTGGCTCCTTTGTAGTATTTTTCCACCTGGTTCTCTCAAATATGCCTGACAAATGCCTTTGAGTATGCAACAAAAAAATTAGTATTCAAAACCTAAAATTATCCTTTCCTAGATTCAGGTGAGTTAGCAGATGATGATATATCTGCTCTTGACCAACCACCAGCTGGAGGCTACTTCCCATAGAAGTTTTAGAACAGTTAATGTGATAGCTTTTTCCTTCAGCTATAGTAAGGGGAGTTTGTTAAAACAGGAGTAAGGTCCCTGAATTAACGTGGTTAACTTAAAAATTAATTAAAGAGAACGTGTCCACAGTTTAAACTGGAAAGCATATTGCTTTTACTAACAAAGATTTTTCTGATACTGTAACTGGCACTTGTAGAGTATTAATTTCTCTTTTTTCTCCTGTTTTGTGTTTTTTTTCTTTTAAACACAGAAGAGAGCCTAATAAGGAAGTGGTTTATATTTTACAAAAGTAGGAATTAACTACAATAGTCTATAGGAAAAGTAAAACCATGATGTCAAGTCTAGTATGCTGAAAAGTTGCAAAGGAAAAATTAAAACCTCTGGAACATGAAGCTGTATAGTTTTAGTTTAAATACAAGTCCAAAACAGATGAATAAATGAAAATTGTAATTTACTTGTGTTTAGACTAGCAAAACAGGTTAAAGAAAATCTTGTTTCAGTAATTTTGCTCTCAGATCAGATACGTAATATGTCTTGGCTTAGTTCAATAGCAGGTTTAAGATGAACCAGTTCTACCTCACATGCAGAAAAATTCTAATCAGACCACTATTTTTTGTTAATATCCCTCCCTCCTAACTTCCATGTCTATAAGGGAATGAGGTTAACTACACAATTTATCAAGAACTAATTATCATCTGTTTGGATACTTTAGTAAAGAAAAAAATGACAAAAGTTATTTCTGATAATTCAGTGGTCTGATAACAAAGAGGTCTTTTTAAATGGCTCAAAACATTATTAAATAAAAGCAGGAAAAAAACCCCACATGAATTTCAAAGTCATTTCCAAGCATACTTAAAGATAAGCTAATAGTGTTTCACAAAAGCAGTAAAAAATGTCTATAATAGAATGTTTCCACTGTGTTTAAACCACAGCCTAATTAGTGGACTTTGTTTTCATCTGAGATAAAGATCTGCAATTTGTCAGAACAGACCAACTGAAGACTAATTTAACTTACTTGTTACTGAGTTCTGAAACAAGCATATTCTAACTTGTTTCTTGTGATCCAGTAAAGGTGGTCATAGAGCTAGGCTGCATAAAATATTTTTATCTCCTAGTACTGAAAAGCAGATGACTTAATAAGGGTTTCCAGACTAGTTACAACATGAAGCTGTCTTCTGTGCCAGGTTCATCTAAGTTGTGGCTGTGAGAAACAGGTTTATACAGCTATCTCCCACCAGGAGAAATGTCTCTTCCTATTAGGTCCTTCAAGAAAAGTAGGGGGCAAGGGGCAGGGATGGGAGATGGGAAAAGATGGGAGAGTAAGCTTTTCCAAGGATAGTAGCTCAAAAATGAATAACAAGGGAATGCTGTAGCTTTCAGCATATTGGAAGAAAAAGAACACCACAGCCATACCAAAGCACACGTAGTTACCATTTATTCTGGCTCTACTTGGACATGCATGAATCAGAACACATCAGTAAGTCACCACATATCATTCATCCAGACTACTGAAGGGACTGGTTTTCCCCACAAGAAATTAAAATTAAGCTCTAAAGAGACAAAGCACTGGCTTTGCAATTGTACTTCTGTACTTCAAGACAGGTATGGGCTTAACATTTACACTGTTAAATGCAGAAGTTAGTAAGTGCAAAGTCTAACCTTTGAATTTCCATTCAAAGAGTAAAGACTGAAAGAACACTGTATTAAAATACCTCAAAGCAAGGTACTGTTATCAGAGTAATGGTCTTCCAGGAAGTTGTGGTACTTTCAAAAGTACTGTGTGGAATTGTTAGTATTTGCTCATCTCTAAAACTTACTCAAATGTTTCTATAGGATATTCTTTGAAACACCTGAAAGCATGGAAGAAGTCTGCAGCAAGTTTCCTGCTTTTATCCAACTTACTCCCAGCTCTGTATACAGGCTTGATTCACCAGCGAGGCTCTCTTGATGTTATGAGTCACATACAGCAACTCTGCAATAGCTCTTACCAGTCACAAGCTTTTGTCTTCATCATGATGCCATGCCACTCTACTCCATTTTACAGGTATTTAAATAGTTAACAGTGTACTATATTAAAATGCATACACTTAAGCAGAAATTAAGATTCCACCCCCACCCCACCCCCCAGCTTAATAAATTTAGATGGATAAACATATACAGGAAGAGTTTTGATTTTTCGTACAGAATGAATAGGGGAAATAAGCCAAATGCTTATACCACAGAATAAAATTCAGCATCTAAGCTTTATTCAGTTTTTGTAAAGTAACTTTGTATGAGGATATGCAGTAAGGCTTATGACTTCTGGAAGTAAGTCCTACTGCTTCATTATGGTAACTTTTGTAGCAAAACTAGAGACTAATTTTTACAGTCAAACTGCATTCATTTTACCTTCTGCTGCTAGAGAGTAAAGAAATGTAATTACAATGTACAATGACTGAGGTCAGTATTCCAAAAAGTTAGCAATAGATCCTGGCAAGTAAGCAAAACATTAAAGCAGATACAAACAGTGAAGCTGATATGGAAGAGTACCTTTTTAAGAAAATTATGTTATAAAGATGGTATTTTTATTAAGATAAATCTTTCTGTGAACTGCTAACGACATAGTCACAACAGTTTGGAGCTGAATCCACTTGTTCTACTTTTGCTTTCATATGAAGTACAGAAGGGAAGAAAATATGACTCTAGGGGAAAAAAACTAATTAATCAATTTCGGTTTTGACTGAGGTATCTTTTAAGTGATCAGTCATTTCAGTCATCAGTTTATCCTGAAGTGTTTGTTTTGGTTTTTTTCCCTAGTCATGTTCACTGTCCTCTAAAAATGAGATTCCTTCAATGTCCCCCAGACCTAACCGGAAATGAGAGCTACATTGATGAAGCAGATGTATTTTACTCTAATCCACTTGGCTGGCTTAATAAGGAGTTTTACAATGATACGTTATTACCCAGTCACTTGATCTTCTTCAGTGTGCTAGAACAGGTATGGTAACTACAAGATGAAACAAACTAGTTTTGAGGACAAGTTACAAAATAAATTAGGGGAGAGTTATAGTTTTTGAAAATTGTTTTTCCACAACTTTTTAAAACACAGCTTAAATTAGAATTGACCCCCCTAGTCCATGATGTACTATAGATACCATTCTAGTGATATGTACTTAACATTCATGTGTGCCCTCTCCTCTGTGCGAATTCTACATGCCATAAAGTAGTGTTTTATGGAATTCTCCTCAAGCCATATTAAAATAGATGTGCGGTCTGTTCCCAGAACCATACACTTAAAAGTAAGCAACAGTGACAAGCAAAAATCCCTGCAGTCAGAGTACCTTTTCCCCTGAATTCTCTTATGAAGTTCATGTACTCAATGGTGTCTGGTGAATATCCACTCTGGACAGGATCAAACAGGGTAGATGCCTCTTTTTCTAGCAGTCTTTCCTAAAATAAAGGATAAAGCTTCCAGGGAACAATTGAATTGATAGTTTTCAGAAGACTTTGGAACACTGTTCTGATGCTCCCAACTGCACTTTCTGACTGTGGAAACTAATGTATGTTCATTTACAGGAAATATCATCATTTCTAGCTTTAAGGGGCTATGAGAGAACAGCTACTGTCTTTCACACTCATGTACCTCAAGGACGAGTTGGAAGCCATATCTATGTCTACAGGAAAAAAACTGACATTAATCGTACCTGAAGATCAGTTTCTAGACTTAAGAGCTAAATGAGATCAGTTTTGCATAGTAGTACTATGCTTAGAAGATCTTGTACTGCAGAAAGGAGAGAGTAGTGAGTCTGAAACCGGGTAAGTCAAATGGGGAGGTCTGATTAGGCAGCCATTGTCTCTCTGGAAACACATAAACCTCTTCCTGAAGGCAACTTCAGTAGCAGTATGGCAGGGTGGGGGTGTTGACCTACCTTACAACACTAGAAAACATCAGGAAGACCAAAGTTACCATATGACTACTTAAACAATAAAAAATTAGACAAGACTGGACCATTTTTATAGAACTGTACAGCTATACCAAGTTTGTTTTATAAATAAAGACTTTTACCCACAATGTCTCTTTATTTTTCTTCTACAATATGCAGATATGCAAGACATTTCAAGTGCTTAAATCAGCAAGCTGATTAGAGTGCAGCACAGCAAATTCTTCACAATTCAACAAGCTCTTGAGCCCCCCCCCCCCAAAGACAAGAAGCAAGTGTAAGATTACAAAACACTAACAAATACATTACCATAATGTAGACCTATTTTTTGAAGGATGAGATGAAGTTAGTATATCAAACATTGGAGTTAATTATTGGTACATTGTGCATGACTCAAGCTTGAACTACACTAATGGAATGCAGTTAAGCATATTTTTCATATACATTGCATGCCTAGTTTCTGCAACAATACTGCTGGCACCCAAACTATCATCACTTCCAAAGAACAGTTAAAGCAACAGTACAGAATATGCAAATTAGAAAGCTTGACTTCTGCCTTTTAACAAAAAAATGTGTAAAAATCAAGTTATTTAGAGAAAAAACTTGCATCTTGCTGCTTTGTTGAAAAAAATTAGTTTCCAGAGGTGTGAATTCTAATCTTATTTTTACCATATATTACTCAATATTTTGGATCAAAGGGTAATTGCCCCAATTCTATTTCAAGATTTGCCATGTGTCTTCCATTAGTGCGACCATGTTTATGCCATTTACCTTCTCTTTTATTACGGTGGTGGTACTTCTGAGCTTGTTTTTCATGTCTGGAATTTTCAGTTTGTGTAAAAGAAGGCCTTTTAGGTCGACTGCAAGGAGTAAACAAAAGCTTATTACTACTCTTATGAAAGCATCTCTCTAAAAGCATTTTGAAACACAATTACATTGTCAAGAACAGCTTTTAACATGCTGAGGTTGACCAAAAACAAAATTAGCATTAAGTAGTCCTTTCTCTTGTAAGCAAAGGGGTTGGGGGTGGGTGTTCGTTTAAATCATGGTATACTTAAAAGAAAGCTCTGCAGCTGGTTGCCCAAAGTTCTTTTTAGAATAAAGCCAGGTAAACAGCTGTTTGATTATCCCTACTGTGATGCCTGAGTGAGGTTACCATCTATTTCTCAGTTATTCTATTACATTCTGCTCTATAAAAAGAATGAAAACTTTACAGACCCTTAGGAAAGCATGCTTTGTGTAAACATGGGCACTTCAGAGGTTTTAATGCACAGTAAGTACATTTATACAGAGAGAGAGGGCACTGACAAAACACTTGCAGTTTTTGATGCAAGCAGTCCCATTATACTACATGCTGTTATCATATGACTAGCATTTCTAGCCACCTGCTAAGCTAAGGCTATTTTCATCTTCAGATAATACTATCAGTAAATGAATTTGAAATCCTGTTTTTCTGCAGACTGAATTAAAGTGCTCAAAAATTAAGTATTTAAATTCATTAAAAATTAAAGTTCATTTTAATAATAAATTAGTAAGAAGTACTTGAACTATAAATAAAAACATAAAACTTATGTTGTGGTTGCCAAAACTACACATTAAAAAAGCTACTTGGTAGCTGATGATAGAAGTATCATCCTCATGGTTCAACTTTTAATAAGATAAAGTACTACCTCACATGATATTTAGTAACCCCAAAGTGGTTAAGTATTCAGACTTCCTGCTGCAATAAAACACGTGAAATAATACACAATACAAGTCCAAAAGAGAAACCTGACTGAAGAACTGCACCTTGATCTAAATACTAAATATGCTTTGCACTGAATACCAGCAGAGGGAAAAGTTGTTATGGCTACAAGGACAACTTCTTGTGTATTATAAATTCGTTAATACATCACATTTTTTTCTTACCTGATCAGGATAAACATTAGCATAAGAGACTATATAGCCAATTTTGTAATAGCAATGATATTAAAAGCCACATAAAATATATACGTTAAGTGTTCCAGAAAGAGCAAGTTCCACACAATATATTAAGGCTGCTTGCTTAATTTTCTTTCACCAAATTCTATGCAGTTGAAACAGTCCACCATATCTAGCTCCATTGGGCCAGCCAGGCAGCATACCACAACTGCTCTGTAGAAGCCCTGGAATACCAGTAGATACAGGAAAGTACTGTGGGACACAATTCATGCCAAGGACCTTTGTAAGCAAGTCTGAACAAAATGTATCAACATCAGGATCTGACCTAAAGCCTGCCATTTGAGTAGCTCTGCTCTGGGCATACAGACTCACTCAGTATTACACTAAACTACAAGAGAGTAGTGAAATTCCTGAAAAGCCAGCAGGGAATATACTTGCCAGAACAGGACTTTGAGACTGCTCAAATATATCCAAAACCCTCATTCAGGGAAGGATAACAAGGAAGTCCTAGTTAATGCTGCTTCTGAGATACTTATTCATTCCATCAGCTAGACAATCATAGCTGTTCAGTCTAAAGTAATCCTACTGGAAGTTACACAGTATTCTAAAGAACTCAGTAGAAATACTGGATTGTGCTATGTACAGTGGATCTGTAGTGCCTCCCAAACATCACACACACACAAAATTTATATATAAGGTACTACAGATCCACTTTATAGAACACAATCTAGTATTTCCATTGAGTCCTTCAGAAAGTCTTCTAGTGTGTGTATATAATATGGACATATGCATACCCACTAGAAGACCACCTATTAGAACAAGGACACTAGTTGTCTTACAAAGACTACTTCATTGTGTTAACAAGTTCAGGAAACACAGAAACAAACCTGGGTCCATACTGGGGTGAATTATCATAATGAAAGTAGTATCTGTAGATATATTTGTCCAAATCGTCAAAAACCTTTTCATTATTATTTTGGTATTCCTTCATATCTTCCAGGTAATCCTTGACATCATTAACAAAATCAGTGAACAGCATCTGGTCGTGTATAAATATGCCATTATGAAAAAACTTATTGATGAAATTTTCTAGTTCTCTCCAGTGATGAAAGTTATGTACAACTTGTTGCAAATACTTTTTCATTAGCCGATTAAATTCATCCACCCTGATAGGATCTGATACTCTGTTAAAGAGACTAATGAATTCTTGATGAGCACATTCAAAAATACCAGAGCAGCCCTTTAGGACAAACTGATGCCTTTTGTTACACAAAGGATCATTGAGAAATTTCTGTGAATCTGTATCTTTTTCAAATGTTGTAAACTGATGTTTTCTTCCATCTTTGAATTCTTTTGGCATGTTAGGTCCCTTGTAATGCCTGTGTTTCAGATTCTCATAAGAGTTATGTTCTCGGTAAAAAGTTCGAGCTTTCTTGTGTGCCTCATGTCTTTTATCACTTGATTTCCTCTCCTTTTCATCAAAGATGTTTTTTGTGGTATCTTTGAAGTGTCTGAATGTAGACTTTACAGAATCAGAGAATTTTTTCAGGTTTTCTTTCACTGCTTCTTTAGCCTGCTTAATCTTTTCTTTATGGTGTCTTACAAACTCTTTCGTGGAATTTTTCATTGCATCAAAAGTTTCTTTAACTGAACCAAAAAATGATTCCTTTGATTTCTTTTTCATCTTACTTTGCCCTTTAGCACCTTTCTTTTGTCCCTTTTCATTCATTTCTTGTTTTTCAGTTTGGACTTTTGCTTCAACATACAGCTTCTCCCATAAGTCAGAGCGTTGTTGCTCAAAGTTTAGCTTTTTTTCTAGTTCTACTAGTCTTCCTCGAAGAGTTTCTATTTCTTGATTTTCTCTTAATGTATCATCGTCATTAGCATTGTCAGGTGTTTGACGAGAACTTAACTGTTCCAGTTCTTTTTTTAGAGCTTCTGTAACATGACGTTCTTTGTCCAGTTCTCTCCTTAACATCTGTGCCTCTGCAAAGAGTGTTTCCTTTTGCCTAAGAAAGTTGTGGTTTCTTTGCTTTTCCTCTTCCAAATGTTCCCTTAGTTTCTGATTTTCCATTACAATAGACTCAGTGCTAGTACCTTTATCTTCTAAGTTTCTAATTTGTTGTCTTAGCTTCCTTAATTCTTCCTGAAGTGAAGCCAAAGCTTTTTCTTCCTTCTCCAGAGATTCTCTTAAGTGCTGATTTTCTGCAGCAAGACTTTTTTTTTGAGATTCAAAGGATTTCTTCTCCATCTCAGTAGAGGTCAAACATGTGGCAAGATCTCCCTTGAGTGACTAATACAAACAAAAAGAAAACAAGCCAAAATACAACAATCAGAATTGTTAAAATTTCAGCTAGAAAGATGAAAGACCAAGGTAGCCCAGGCACAGTTTACTTGTCATTTTGGATGCAGTGACACATGTTGCAGCAAGATGCAAAAATAGAGCTAGTTTGTTTATCTCGGATACACACACAAACATTTTCTTGGCAAAGACCATGTGAGAGGCTCCCCCTTCCAACCAGAGGTCATCACCCCTTGCTTGTATTGGTTTAACTAGCTGAAGGATAGTAAACTGGGTACATGAATTCTAACATCTTAAAAGGAAATGAAAATGTCTGGGTTTCCTGTCGATTTATGTTCCACAAACTGGGTTTACAGATTACAAAACCAAATACATTAGCAGAAGCAGGGGCAGTCAACAGTTGGGACAGAAATTCAGGAACTGATTTTGAACCAAATTTGTTGCTGAAACCATGTGTTCATGTAACTATATCCTAACACAAAAGGATCTCCCCAGTCTCTTGGCATCCTTGACAAACTCTAGAACCTAAAGGTGTTGAATTATGTATAAATGCTGTTATTGGTAACAAAAAAAAAAACAACTTACACACACAAAAAGCACTCCCTAATCTTCTCTCTGAATGATCTAACAGTAAAAAACTAGAAATACAGGTTAAGTATTTAAAAAATTAATAACCACTTACAATTTAGAAAGCAAATGCACAAAACCTTTAGGTTCAACCTATAATAGGTTTTTACCAGCATGTTCTACTTCAGCTGTCTTCATTACTTGTGTTCAGCTCTGGGGCCCCCATAAGAAAGATATGGACCTGTTGGAGCAAGTCCAGAGAAGGGCCATGAAGATGATCAGAGGGCTGGAGCACCTCTCCTATGAGGATAGGCTGAGAGAGTTGGGGCTGGTCAGTCTGGAAAAGAAAAGGCTCCAGGGAGACCTTGTAGCAGCCTTCCAGTACTTAAAGGGGGCCTACAGGAAAGATGGGGAGGGACTCTTTAACTGGGAGTGTAGTGATAGGACAAGGGCTAACGGTTTTACATGGGAAGAGGGTAGATTTAGATTAGATATTAGGAAAAAAATTCTTTACTGTGAGGGCAGTGAGACACTGGAACAGGTTGCCCAGAGAGGCTGTGGATGCCCCATCCCTGGAAGCGTTCAAGGCCAGGCTGGATGGGGCTTTGAGCAACCTGGTCTAGTGGAAGGTGTCCCTGCCCATGGCAGGGGGGTTGGAACTAGATTATCTTTAAGGTCCCTTCTAACCCAAACCATTCTACGATTAATGACAACCTGGCATTATGTCATAAGGAAAGAGACAGTCTGTGTCCAGATAACTCCTAGACAACATACCTAAAAACAAGTATGTTTAAATACATTCCAATAACAAATTTCATCAAAATACAAAATCTTTGTCAAGAATTCAGGGGAAAGAAAAATGATGTTCTCGAAGAACTTACTAAAGAAAAAAAATGTGATGGATTTGTGTGATAAATTAATTTCACTTTGTGTAAACTACACATATAACGACAGAATAACCCAATGACTTCCAGCTAAACTCATACCTACCCCCACTTTATGATGCAATTTATCTCCTTGCTCTTGTTGGCACTGGTAAAGGTCATCTTTCATATCTTTTAATTCACGTGTCTTTGTCACCAGCTGCTGACGTTTCTGGATCTGTATTGTACCTACAAAGATTAAAAAAACCAAAACTTTGTTTTGATAGTCTGACTTACATTAAATAGTTAGAAGAACAGACAAACCTAAGCATCATCTTAATTTTCTCTGCAAATTCAACAGCATTCTTATCTTGCAATTTCTGCCCAGTACTTACTAGTAACTGTTTAGCTGTAACAAAATAAAGATTGTAACACCAGAGTGGTACATACTGATTCTGTTTCTTCCAACAATAAAAAATTTCTCAAATGGACCCAACAATTTGCTATTACACTGTCTTTTATTTGATAACAAATGAAGGAATTTTGGAACACTACATAGAAGTAAGTTAGATACAAAACAACAAAAGTTATGCAGGAAAGGATATATGTGACTTCTTTGTCATTTTTTTTTAGTAACATGCAAGCCAACCAGGATAAAAGGGAGACCATTAGTCCATACATTATCCATTTCGGAACTACAGCTTTTACTGCTAAATAGTTACATCAATAAGAGGATATTAGCACAGTATTTAAACTGTCATGCAGAAACACAGTTATTACACACTGCTCACAAGCAGCAAGTATTTGCAGGCCCTATCTTATCATTCTTATCCATGAGTGAAGGCTAAAGAGTAAGCAAATATCCTATCTTTCAATTGTCAGATAAAGGCTGAGACATGATTTTTCTGAAAAAATATCTTCGTTGTACTAGCCACCAATTTTTTCCATCAAATAAAACCTCTTCACTGGTACCTCCCTATCTATACACATGTTCTGTAAATCCTAACACTGATGCAGGTTTTATTTCTTTGCTTTTAAGAGTCTCTTTAATTGACTCTACAGCAGATGGCAATAGCATGTTTTAGGCATTTTTTTCAAAACCAATGCAGCATATGCAGAGTTCTATTTCTGTATTTAAAGGCAGGGGGATGTATTATTAAACAGACGAAATTCTATAAATGCTATTACACTGAGGAATTTTTTGCACTCTCTTAATTTCTATTTAATGTATTGTCAAGTATGAACTTAAAAACAGTGCTCTATTAAACCAAGTTGAACCTCAGTAGTTCAATTCAGCCAAGGGAAAGCAATGTTTTTACGCAATGATTTTAGATTTGCAGAGTCCTAGTAAACATTTATTGGAAGCACAGATCCTTGCATAAGTGAATTTAAGTATACTGACAGTAAATTTGTTTTTCATATTTATGTTTTATAGATACTTTTGAAGAAGTCCATTGATCCTAAGAATCTAAAGACTGCATCTGAAATCATCATTTAGTGTAAATGGTTCGTGTCAAGAGGAACCTGAATTACAGAAACACTTAAAATGCTGTTTCTGTGCTTATCGAATCATAATTTAGATACAGTAAGCAAAAATGACATTTAGCAACACAGATAGGGCATCAAAGACACTGAAAATGCACGTAACGAGGTACCACTCCTCAGTAATTGGTTTACATTTCCAGCTGGTACTCTAAGTCTCCTTATGCTTCAGAATCTTTAAGAAATCTATCCAAATCCCTAGCATTACAGTAATATTCCCTTCTGCAGATTCTGGTTAAAGAAAAAAATTAAGTATCTGAATGTCCATAAAGAGACATTCTTCTGTCAAGGGCTTCCTAACTTTAGCTTTTCCAGTTAACTCTTTTCCTGGAAAGCTTGCCCTCCTCCTTCACATCTCCTTCCTAGAGCATCATAAAGCCAGTAACTAAGTTTAATGCTGATTAGGATACAGTTATTGATTAAAACTTAATCATAGTCGCTTTCTACATCTTTAGAAGTCTTAAAGGGGTCCTGGAGCTCTAGCTAAAGAGAAAACACTTCCCTCCTGATACTAATCCAAAAAAAAAAAAAAAAAAAAAAAAAAAGAAAAAAAAATAAAAGAAAAGTAATTTCAGAAAAAGTAACCCTTTCCAATCCTCTTACACAACAATTAGCAATTAGCCTAGCATTAAAAAACTGCTGTGGAAAACATTCATTCCAAGCTGAATTACAAAAATGCAAAGTAGTCCTCTAGGCAGATGGATTTCTCTTTGCAAGTTGGTGTTTAAAAAAAAAACAAACAAACAACAGGAAGATGGAAAGCAGTTTGACTTCCTTTCTAGTTATCACATAACCATGAAGAACTTTCACTTGAAGAAACAAAAACTAAAGCCACATAGACTTGCCTTCTTTCTGCCGAGAGTGCTGTCATCGCTGCCATCAGTGATGAGCATTTTTATTTAGAAGTACAGACTCAATGAATGAACAAGTCAAAGTGAATCCCTTAATAAAGATAGGACCCTGACTACATTTCCAAAATGTATTTCTCATCCATAGATCACAAAGTTCTTTAAAAGAATAGTATTTATCATTAACCCAAATTTAAACATTGTAAAATGACTAACAGAACTGAAATCTCAAGTTACCACCACAAAGCACTATCAAAGTCTGGTCTAGTCATTGTGCTCCTCTGGTTCTAGTATGCCAATATACATCAATCAGTTTTTACACCAGCTACTACTACCTGCAGCTGCTAAATAAAAAGTATTTTATGTAACTGGATTAGTCATTTCTATAATACCGCATACACTAGCAATTCTTAAGATTTCTTTTTTTTTTTTTAAATGTAAGTATGCATACATATATGGATGTGTGTGTACACATACACACACACAATTTTAAAAGTAAATCTGAATGCAAGCATAGCATCCACAATACATCACTCATGACTCTTACCTTCAGGTTTACCTAAGAACAAAAAAAAAGTATTCAGGGTCAAGTGAAAATTAGTATAAATCTCAAAATAAATGTCAAATTTAAACCCCTAACAATTAGTCAAAATCAAATTCAATTAGAATCATATTCCCAGTGTCAAATTGAATCACAAGTCTTCTTATGAAGGCATATTTTCATAAAAAACTAAAACCACTCAGGAAAAATTACTATTAAAAACAAATGCCCTCTATCATTTTTATCATAACACATGTATCTTAGAAGGTCAGGACTGCACTACATAGATTTAGATCTGGAATCAGTTCTACTGTTTTGTTAAATGCAGTAACAAACTGTGTAATGCTTAACTTTAGGCAACACACCGAACACAGGAAAATCGCTGCTATCCTGGATTCCCTAAGCCCCTCTGGAATTGCAAGGACAACTACAGCATATTTTTCTCTACCAAAGAGAGAAAAACATTGATACTATGAACTCCTGTATGCCTTGCTCCTACATTTACCAGATGAGCACATATGGAACAAAAGCTTGAAATAACTCTCTGAATGCTGTTAGAAATGGTAAGCACTACCACAAATTTATTTCAAAAGAAAAGATGTGAAAAAAGAAGGGTACACACTGCATTATTAGAACAACAAGAAATTCTATCTGGAAGGGCAACCAAAAATTAATTTATTTTTATTTACTTTAATTTTAAAGTAGTGTATATTAAATTGCACCACTGAAGGGCCTCCCTATATTATCCATACATTAGCAGTTGTTTTTTCTCATTTTTAGGTTTAGATTGCTAGCAGAGAACAAGAAAAAAAAACCAGTCTCACATAAAATGGTATTTGTTATGTAAGATGTTGATTCTATGTATTTTGTTTTCTATAAACTCACCATAGAAGTGTCCAAAGCCCATGCTGATTGCAATCACCAAAGCTAGTACAATGCATCTGTTAAGGCCACTACTGAACTGGCGTTTGTGCTGCTCTTCTCTGGGAGGTTCAGACTCCGGTTCAGCAGGTGACCCACCCTCAGTCTCAGAGCTGGAGATCAGTCTCTTCTTAGCCCGACGTTTTCGTACTGCGGGACTGGACTGATTGCTAGTTTCATCACTACTTGATTCATCATTGCTAGCCTGAGATGAAAAAACTGAAACCCAACACAGAACAGTCTTTAAAATGCATTAATTGTTGTTTTGAAAATCAGTTTGAGTACCAAAATCCATCATATAAATGCCAAATATATTTTGCATAAATCTTGGAGAACATTAATAAAACAAAATAAAAATTCTCAGTGTGATAGTTTATGCTGGATATTATGCAAGGAATGCTTAATCTCCAAAGTTAAAAAAAAAAATCATTTTTTAAAAGGAAAAGATAGAGATCAAGAAATCACCAGCAAAAAAACTGTACAGCACTTCCCCACACCTTATCATTCACTCATTAGAAAGTGTTTTGTTCAGACAATCCTGCCTCTTAAAGCATCTACATGTACTGCCTCTGTAAATTCTTGTGAAGTAGAAAGGTTAAGAATTCAGTTTTCCTTCTCTTAACAGACATTGAGACTGAACTAATTAATAAAAGAGCAACATAAAGGCTTGCTAAAAGAAAGCTTCCTAAGACAGACATGGTTTTACTATATTCTCTCAAAAAACTTCATTCTGTGATCTACAAGCAGCTGCAGAAAAATTCCATTAAAGGTCCATTAATGTATTTGTTATAAATATTCAAAGCTTTGCATTGCAAATTTATTTAAATATGTAATTTTGTTTACTTTTAACATCTACCATATACTATCTATTAACATCTTTACCCACCTTTCAAAAAAGCCATTTTCAACCACTACTGCACAGGAAAAGAACCACTTGGGTGCTTTTGTGTTTGTCCCTCCCTAGCACTCTGAATCCAAAACGCTTCTATACCTGACTGATGTTTTGGAAGATTGAATCAGCCGAGATTTGAGATAAGAACAAATTCTAACCATAAAAAATATCTTTAATAGCATTTTTGTAAAATAGTATTTATGATACCATTTGTATGTTCATGTTCCTATGGCCCAGAAGCCATATATTCTAACTGGGAAAATAACAACAAAGCTGTAATTGCTTGTTGCTATTAGTGGCACAAATGCTTGCTGCATGTACTGTAAATAAATTTATATAACCCAGTATATAAGTAATGATTATTTAATCTCCCTCCTTTGAAAGCATCATTTTCAAGTGTAAGGCAAATATCAAGGGGAAGCAGCAGCAGGGTGAAAAAGAAGCTTTCAAATACCTATGTTCATGTACCTAATTCACATGCCTCAAATAGAGTCAATGTGATCAGTGAAGCCTCCAGCACATGACAAAGTGCTCCTGCTCAGACACTAAATTTGATGCCTGCAATTACACAATGCTAATGCCCCTTCTAGAAATATAGTTGTTTATTCTTATATCAGAGATCACCACTCAAATGTAAACATATAAATACAGAGTTACTGTCCTTGAACATTTCACAACTGAAAATCATTTGTTTGGGCAAAGCCACGCACACATCACTGAATAGACAAGAATACCAAGCAGTGCTAGCCGTTAGCTATAAAAAGCATTACCAATTAAGATTCTTCACTTAAAATAAATTCCAACTTAATAGAAGTGATTGCATCAACCCCAGAAAAGATTACCAATTAGTATCTGGAATACATGTCTAATTTCTGACTCTGTGGACAAGCAACATGTCAGATAATGAAAGATAACTTCCCCTCTTACTAAAAAAATCCATTTTAGTCCATTAGTCAAACCAGACTGACCAAGCAGACATTGCAATAAAGACAAATCACTTAAACAGCTACTTGACATGCAGCTTCTTAATGAATTTATATAGCTTGGCAGAAAAGGACACTATTTTAGAATCAGTCATTTAAGCAGATGCATACTTCCCCAATCCTGGACAATAAAGACAAGCATTCAGAAATTAGTCAGGAGAGAGGTATTTTTAGTAGAATGCAGACATCAGATATTGTAAAGGATGATACAGGACATACTTCATAGGACGGGTGTTGTTATTGCTTATTTGGGTTTTTTAGGGTTTTTTCAACAACCGAAGAAGCTTACACATGGAATACAAAAGTGGTTAAGGAACAAGCTACTTCTAGCCAAATGGGAGATTCTTTGATATACACTGGACGACAAAGAATAGGAAAGGGAAAAAAAATAGACAATTGGAAAGCAAAGAGAGAAAGCTGTAAGACACTTAGAGCCATTCATAAGCACTTACTGGCAAGTTGTCAACAGCATTCATTACACTTTCAGGCAAGAATGACACTGCCTTACAGCTGCTGTAAGAATTCAGTACAAAGCTCTACTCTGATATTCACAGGATGAAAAGGAGTATAAAATGAAACAAAGTGTGACCACAATAGCAGTCCAAAATTCTAGCTTCTGCTATGATTTTGAAGTGTCAGATCTACACTAGAAACCACATGAAGTAACAATGTCAGTTAAGAACATGATTTTCTTTGACGTTTCTGCACAGACACAACTCAAGCCTAGATGCAGTTTGTTTCAGTATATGAGTGCTTCTGCTAGTTAACTTAATTCATGAAGCAATATTAAAACATTTCTGTTTGCATGGTGAAGACAGCCTAAACAGGAATTGGTTTGCAAGTAGAAGTGGCAGAAAATCCTTGTAGAATGTTTTAGTGCCTACATTAGGAAAATCTGAAGCTCATCCTTTTCCAATACAACAGAAAACTCAACAAGAAGCGGGCAGATGGCAAAGATTTCCATTGCCAAAAAGTGGCATGAAAATTTTGACTGCTAAAACTTTGGCATTTAAAATAAATGCAAAAGTACTCCAGACATTTTCTATGATACTTGGTCAATCAGATGCACAGCACTAAAGACCATGCTGAAATCAGCTTAAGTTAGAAGGAAGAAATTCTTTTTGCCAGTCATACATAGATTTGGAACCCATTCATTTAAACTGTCAAAGCAGACATATTAAAATGTATTACAAAGCTTACTGATGCCCATTCCAAATTTACATGTAAGTTTAACGTTTTTCAAAAAAGCAAATAAAACACTGACAGCTTAGCCAAATTCTTCATTGAGGACTGGCTTTCATCATCTGTTTGGAATATCACTACTACAAGATGAAGTCAGATTGCTACTGATAATTTTAAGAACACTCCATGCAAGCCATAAGCAATCAGCTTTACACAAGCTGATCAAATTTAATCACACCACCTTGGAAAGGAAGACTGCGAGACACATGCTCTTTCACCTCATTTCCCCATCCCCTTACACAATCAGGAATCTTCCTCAGCTTCTCCAGCCAACTGACTTTTGTGTACAAAAACATAGGGAGGAAAAAAAAAAAAGCATTTTTAGAACTCAGCCCTAAAAGAAAAAAAGAAAGTCAACTAAATTTAAATTAAAAATTAAGTCAAGTCATCCAGAAGACTTAAAGAAGGCAACAGCTTTGTTACGAATCATCACTGGTCATTAGATGCTAAGCTGTCATTTTCTGATTCCAATGGATACTATACAGATACATGAACGTTTAACGATGTTTTATTCTACTTCTAAGATAAAACAGTATTTAAAAAAAAATCCTGCTCTTTTAATAAACTTACTTTGAAACGTCAAAATCAGTCATACAAGAGTGTTATAAAGAATAAAGAGAACAGAAAAGATTACAAATAAGCAGCCAAATAGAATTAAAAAGGAAGACTAGAGAACTAGAGAAGAGTAACAGAACAGTAAGTTTTTTTGATTGGGTTTGTTGGGTTGTGGTTGGTTGTTTTTGATTGGCCAAATATTCATATCCTTCCTCCTGAATATCATGCATTGTATATTTCTGCCAAGTCCTGGGAGTATCTTAAAAAAATACATATATTCTATGTAGCTATGAAGGTAAGCTGCTACTAGTCATCATGACCCCAAAATCAATTCTCTCCCAGTTGCTAGTCGTTTATGCCAACTCTATAAAAGTCAAAAAAATTGCCAAGAGAAACTCTATAATTATTCTATGAACTAAAAGATATTTTAATTCTCCAAAATATTCTAGAAATATACTTTCTATTTAAAATAGTGAACACTTAATGGGAGAGAACACTTTCAAACAAGAAGACTGCAGATTTGGACAAAGTTTTAGAGTTAGGGCAACTAGAGTTGTCCTAGAGACTGCAAATACTTGAACAAGACCTTTTTTTTTTTCCCTCTCCACACAAAGAAGGTTCCCTAAGCAAATGTTTCTTATTTTTTTTCCTGGTGACATTTTTGCACACAGTTGCTTAGTAATTGATTTCTCTTACCAGTCTCTAGATGGGAAAATGCATATTGACTGCTAGAGGAGGAACCCATATTAAAATCCTCTGAACTTTGAGCTTCTTCACCATCAGGTGGAGCTTCCTCCTGACTTTGAGTTTCTTCTGGTTTTGGAGCTTCAATTGTAACAATGTCAGAATCATCGCTAATAGTTCCAATACAGGACCCATCATCAGGGATTTTTTCTTTCTCTCCCTAGGGAAATGGACAATGTAAAAAAATATTCAGATACATAAAATATAAAGTAATTTAAAAAAACAGCAAGAATTCTTAATGCTTTAAAAAAAAGAAAAATCAGTATCTTTATTTTAATGCCTTCAAAACATTGCTTGGTATTGTCTGATGTGGCTTACAGAAGCTTCTGAATAACATAATATAATTTACCTCTGGAACTGCCTGAGTTTCCCCAAAAGCAGAGAGAGTATTATCTACCAGTGGTATCTCTCCATCATTGTCGCACTGAGCTATATAAATAAAAAGAGGAAAAAACCAAACATGGGATTAAAACCAGTAACCACAAATTATGCCCACTCCCATATAATATTAAAATATGTATAATTGTGACATTTCTATTGTGTACTCATATCAGGGAAGGTTTTCTAAAAATAAACTAAATCTCATTTTTAATATTCCTCTAACAAATATCAGAATCCCATTTGTCATTATGCAATACAATGTTTTGGAGACTACTTAAATTCAAATCCTCACATTGATCATAATGCAAGTAACCTATAAATGAAAAGCACAATTAGATAAAAACCAACACTATATTTTAAGTTTATACAGTACGTTTGTATGCTAGGATAATTAAAATATTTTCCAGGTAGTCATTGGAGTTTGATTGCCTTGTCCTGTTTCAACAAGGAGATGTTATGAATTTGGAAACATGGCCAAGCTCAGATTTAGTCAACTGCACACTGAACCTGTCACATCTGTGTTCTCATACCAATATTAATACATTGAGCATTAAATTTAGTAATTAAAATGAGTGAATTTTCATTATATTAATATGCACCAGACTTCACTTCCAACTCAAGAAATGCTAACACAGTGCCACAATGTTATTTTTTAGGTGTAATAGCATTGATGGTTCCTTCCAAATTACTCTTATTTGATCAATGACATTATTAAGGAATATTTGTTTTATCAATAGTACTTCTATGAACTATCTTCCAGCAACACCAGTGCATACTATTCTGTAATGCATCAAAAGTACTGACAAAATGAAAGACATTCTACTCATTTCATCTAGTTCAATAAAAAATGCTTTTATAAAGTTGATGACTGATTATTTTCCATAACGCTGATGAAGCAAGTACTTTGACAGAGGCCTACAAAGTATACAAACTCTATTAAAAATACTAATTTTGTGCCAACGCTACAACAGATACTTACCTATTTTATTGAACTGCTCCTCTTTTAATATCTTACCTTGCAAATCAATTGGTTGCTCCTCTTCTTGCAAAGAAACATATTCTTCTGAAACAAATTCATGGTTATCATTTGTGCTTCCATTTTCTGAAGTCACTGTCTCTATGTCAGAACCCTGGAGTTGAAGAGTTTTAAGAAAACATTACTGTTACTGGGATTTCCATCAGTAAAGCAGAAGGAAAAAGTTACAAAGAAAACAGAACAATTATAATAAAAATGGAAGAGAAGAATAACCTTTAAAACTGAAGAAGCTTTTAAGCAAAGAAAAGCAAGAGAAATACCAAGTAATTAACTAGAAGGAAACAACTGTTAGTAATACTTCTGACCATGACTGAAAAAGGCAGAGGACAAGTCTAGGAGTGGGAAAAAAAAAAAGGGGGGGGGCAATTTAGGCATCAATTAACAGCTATGCTAAGTATTTTAAATAACTATGTTCTATTAGCTTTATTAGACCTATTTATTAAATAGACTTTAAAGAAACAGAGGAGGTTGTCAAATAAGTTTTGAATATGGAATCTGATTATTGCACATATCTCCATGTATTGTATGTAAATACACACACCCTCCCCAAAACAAAGCTTCAAGTGTACCACCATGAACTCTAGTAAGTACTACTACCAGGAAAAAATATGTATAACACTACTCCATCTCAAATTTGAATGGCTGTCTTAATAGTACATCTCTGACACCAGGAAAACAAGTATTTATATAATCTCTAAATTGGATTTCTGTCTCTAATCCACAAAGGAGTCTTAGTTATTAGTCAGCTGCTAGTCAGCAACAACCTCAGAACAAAACAGGAACTGAAGATAAACAACGCTCAGAGACTGCAGGGCACTAAGGGCAAGCAATACAGTTGACAACTCTAAATATTTAATCTTCATATTGTAATTTTTATTTAAAAGAACTGATGGAACACAAGTAAGGTTATTAGAAAACTATAAACATGCAAAACATAACTGAAAAATACTAAGTCACTCTGATCCATAAATAACTTGAGCTGTTTTTGTAAACAGAGATAGTTATTTTTGCAATAGCAGGTGTGAAATTACAGTAGTAGTAATACTTCCAGATCAGTTTTCCTAGATGCCTCATTTCAGGACTCAAGCAAACATGTATGCTTTTGTTTTTAAGAAGAGATTGTACCTCAGGAAGATTACATACCTCAAAAAGAGTTGCATAAGATACATTCTACAATCACATTACAAAGTTCTGTTCCTTTTTAAAAGGCTTCAAAAATTAACTGCTTTAGTAATTTGACAAATACTTTGTATTTTTTCTTTTGACTACTTAAAGTATCACAATTTTAATCTCAAATGTTTTGTAGAAATTCACCACTGAATTATAATTAATTTATTAAAATCTGAGTGAAATCTCAGGAAAGAAAATACAAAATTATTTGGGGGTTTTGGCTTGGATGGGTTTTATAGACAGGTATATAGATTTATTATGTGACAATTTTTCTCTGGTGTAATAGAACCACTACTTTCATTTCTTAAGTTGTGAAGAAGAAAGAGAGTAACAAAAACTTAGTTTGCCCAGGCTCCACAACAAGGCAAACATCAGGAATATAGCTTAAAACAGATTAAAGTTTTAGCTAAAATACCAAGAAACTGGGCTAGCTGAGTACAAGGTAAGCCATCCTTTTTTAAACATGTGCAGTCTGGTCTGATTGTCTGAACTCTCCAATTCACTTCCTTAGTTGCTAGACCTACATGACCCTTCCATTTCATCAACAGCATAGAGGTTGAGAAAGGATATTGTCTCCTCACTACACTCCTTTTCCTATACTCCTACACAAAATTAGCAAATCCTTTCTTAAGAGTAGTCCAATGATACACAGCATCACTTCTCTGTTCAGATATTAAATTCAGCATACACAGCTGTCAGTTGTCTGCAATCACAATCTAAGCCAATTGCTATTTCTTGCCCCTCTTAACTCAGTGCCATTGTAAATGGCAAAGCAAATCCAGAAACTGATTCTGTTATGTCATCATCAATACAGGTCACAATAATATGTGAGAAAGGAATACTATAGGTATTCCAAATTTGCCTAATCCTTAGCTCTACCCTCTTCCTAATACCCACATCACTTCCCCGAAGTATACAGTAGTCCACATGTCACCCCCTCCCTGGATAACAAGTGTGTGAAGGGTATCTAGCCATCCCATTCATTCTACTTTATTAATCAGGGAAGAATAACTGGGAACAGAAAATCGCCTCACCACAGAAATCTGTTCTGCTTTGGCTAGACAAATCCCTGCCTTCCTATAATCTTGTATTATGTTAATTTATTTAGACTACATAATTCATTTTCAGTTACAGTGGAAAATAACCATCTCAAGTATTAAAATAAAGTCTGCAATTCACAGCTGAGTAACCCAACTGTTGTAGCCACCTCCTAAAATCCTTTAACTTTCATGCGAAGTCTGTAAAGTCCGGCAGCCTGTGCATTCCTGTATCCCACTTGGTTTTGAGGACTGGAGTGAGTTTTCTGTTTCTCTTTTGGTGACGGGATTCCCAACTTGTCATCCAACCCAAAACAAGGGAAGGAAAGAAGTTTTAACCATCTCTTAAATACCACCTTGCTGCCAACAGAAATGAAACCATGGCCCAACATTTATAAGGCACAAACCACATCTCTTGCGCTTCTGAAACTGAACTGAGCTTTCAAAACTTGAGTATAATGACAGACTTGTAACGGCTTGCCTTTCGAATTACCCAGATTTTCATTATAATCTGCAAATAGGGGAACGTGCAGTGAAGGAGAAACAGCTGATCACTACCCATTATCTCTTCCTATTATTTCCTATTTTCCTCCTATGAATTTTCCTCCTCAAGTACTGTTCCCTGAAAACGTTTTGGAGCAGGCAACAAGAAGATAAAGCCAGCCAACAGGTAACTGTCATTCCAGGAAAATAGTTAACCCATTTGCTCTGAGGATTCTGGCTCAATAACCTCCTCAGTTTACAAGTCAATGCTAGATACTTAAAACAAAACAAAACAACCCCACCACCCCCACTACTACACCCACACATCAGCTAAGATCTGAAGAGATACAAAAATCCTCAGGACTAAAGGAGAAAAGTGTATTGGAGGTCCATACCAAGAGGTGGGGCCTCTCAAGTTTCTGAGCAACTTAGGCCTGCCTTGTTCACTGCCAGGGGAAAGTAAGACAAAACATTAGTCTTATCTAACTTTAAAGTGTCTACACCTGAGCAAATTGTTGAAGGCACCTTTACAATCCATACAGTCAGTGGAGTCGACAGCAAGTCATTTGATCAAATATAAATGCTGACCTTAGCGTAAGAATTACCGCTCTCTAGACTCCATTGATTGTATTGATTTAATTTCTACAATACAAACTTAGAAACCATCATATTCAGACGCCTACCCTGTAGACATCTAGGCAACAATGAACCCACACCAACAGACCTTTAATTGCTTCACATTTTTTCTTTTGTCTCAAGCTTTATTCTACTAGGAATTAAAAATTACTTTTGTTTTAATAAAGCCATTGTCAGTTTATACAACTGGCCAAATATCAGAAAATAGGCAACACAGACACACAAATTAAACCAGGGCTACACAGACATAATAGTGACTTTACAAATAGCTGTATCTGAAGACTCAATCGAAGAATGAGGGAATTCTAGCATTTCATCCCTAATAAAAGTAATAAATGAAGCTACAGCAGAGATCAAAAGATGGACAGAAACATAACTGAAGCCATACAAATTTGATAGAGCTGCACACATCAATTGAGTAGGTCTTAAAACACAACAAGTATTTTAAACCAAGAACAGTTTTTTGCCTTGCACACAGTCTGTTAGTTCTTTCCACCTGCTGCCACACAATCTACCATCACAA